TTTAACATCTTCACTTTCAACAAGGCTGCAAGCAACCACTAGTAGACTCGGAAGATACAGGAAGAGAAAAGATGACGTTTATAAAGCAAGATAAAAAAATAACAGACAACTTAAAAGATTGCAAGTTATTTGAATCAGTAAAAAAGAAGAAGGGAGCGAATTCCAAAGATAAGTTCTTCTAACTTCGAAGAAAAAAACGAGACAAATAAGAATTTTTGGAACACTTAGGAACAGTCACAGTAAAAGGATTATTTGAATGACGTGTAACACGAAAATGAATTTTAGTAAATGACACAAAAAGACGCTAGTGTTTTTTTTTTCAATGCACACACTCAAACCCCCATACTTGTCTAAATATGGTAAACTGATAGATCTCTATACTAATTACTTTGTATTATTATAGTTTATTGACTTAAAATACAAAAGTCCGTCATGTAGAAGTCTGGATAAGTCTGGGACTTTGAACTTGGGCAATCCATTTCTAGATACACAAACTTCTCCTACCATTATCATCACAGTATTTTAAACTTTTTATCAATTTTAACTATTGCTAATATTCTTATTAAGCTGATTTTACTTCATTTAACAATCAGAAATCTACCATTTTTGATCGTGATGGTAGTGGGTGAAAAGAGGAGGGCTTTGAAATGTTGATACTAAAATTGGTTATTATTTTTTTGAGAAATGGAACACTTTTAATAGAAGTAATACGAGATGGAGTCTATGAGGATTTGTTTTCTAACATATCTAGCAAGATTTCAACGCCCTTTTCTTTCATGATAATCATTTAATAATATCATTTATTTTTATAGAAATAGTATTATGAGTACATATCGATGTCAGGCTAGTTTAACGCATGTCATTGGTTCTGTTATGCAAAGAGTTTCTCAATATACTTATAGCTCTGAGGCTCCTTTTAGATTTAAATGTTGAGATTAAAATGTTGGAAAAAATCCAAAGAACTATCTTTATGTTTCTTAATCTAAAATGAAAAATTTATATGCAGAAAATGAAACTTATTAAGGGCTTAAGTATTGTTTAAATATTGTCTTTTATAGTTGAAAAAGCAATTGCTCATAATTATATGAAAACCGTGAATACCTTTCCACGGTACAAGAAAGCCCTAGTTACATATTTTTTTTTTTCTTTTTATTCTAATTTACTCGCAACAAGGCTGCAAGCGGCACTATTAAGTTGGGAGTTTCTAAAAAAAAGAATAGAGTTATAAAGCAAGCAAATGGTTGACTGAAGACTTGAAAAGTTGAAGTTTGTATGAGTCAGGAAAACATGAAGATGTGAAAGAGTTCCAAAGATCAACCTTTTGGAACTCTCTCCCAAACTCAGGTTTTCCTAAGAGTGCGGGGAAAAAAACTAGACGAGTAAAAGTTTTTAGAGCATGCAGGGACAAATACAGTAAAAGAATGAGACTTTTCTGAATGACAAGTCAAGCGAGAACGAGTTGATGGAATTAGAGATTTTAGTTCTTTTAAGCAGCGTCCATGATAGTATTTGCAGAAAAGAAAAAGAGATGCAGCTTTACGACAATCAGAAAGAGGCTCAAACTTAGCAGATAGAGTGGATCCAACAACGTTTACAATGCGTTTTTGGACCTTGTCTAGAAGAAAAAGAGCATCATTAGAAGAACCAGTCCAAATATGACACAGTATTCAATACAGGGACGAATAAGAGATTTATAGACGTAGAAAATGAAATCAGGAGTAAGAAAATGGTGAGCACAATAAATAGAGACAACCTTATTGGATGCTAATTTAGCAATTGCAGACAACCGTAGAGAACGCTAATTTAGAAAGGATTTAGAACCGTATTGAATGTCTGACACTAAGTTTTTTCAAGATGGGATGTAAGAAATCTGACCTTGCTAATAACAGAAAGAAGACTTATCAGAAAATAATTAGAGGGGTTAGAATGTTCACCTGAGTTTTTGAAAATTAGAGCAACAGATGTCATTTTCTAGCAGGCAGGAAAACAAGACTCAGTCAAGCACTTATCAAATAGTTTAGAGAGCACTAAAGAAAGTTCTGGAAAACAATTTTGTACGACTATGACAGGAATGTTGTCTTGACTACAAGCCGTAGAAAAGTTCAACCGAGATTTGACTTTGGCAACGGAAGTTGGCATGATTTGAATGTCTAACAATGGGTAAACCTGTTTAATTGGAATGGAAGGAAGAGAATGACCTAAAGATTCAAGAGTTGAATTTGAAATTAAGCTCTTTGCAAATATTTCTGCCTTATCCTTGGGAGTGGTAAAAAGATCAGTCCCAAGAATCAGAAATGGAGTGTTAGAGCGTTAATGACGCTGTCGAAAATTTTATAAACGTTTTTATCCCAGCTAGCACACTTACGTTGGGCCAACGTAAGTCAAACCATCGCGAACGTCGGCTTTTTTTCCAATGCAAAACCAATATTGATCCAATGTCATTTGGTTAATGATAAAATTATTACCGGTGGAACTAAAAACATCAGGCAAATTTACATTGGTCCAATGTATGTAAAAACATTGCAAAAAGTTGATTGTTTATACGATCTAAACCCAATATTGATCCAATGTATATATTTCGACGTTGTTTCAATTTATATAAATCAACATTTTTCTAATGTATGTAAAAACATCGCAAAAAGTTGATTGTTTTGATGGACTAAATCCAACGTTGATCCAATGCATTCGACCAAACATTGCTAATCACATTGCGAACCAAACATTGCGAACCAAACATTGCGAAATCACATAACTTAAATAAAATCTTCCGTGATTATTAAAATACCAAACCACAATCAACACAAACATGATTTTTGTCCGATGATCAAGCGTTCACATTTCCTGAAAACTTAAAACCATAAAGTAGAATGACTTGGAACCAACGAGAAAGAATAAAAGCTTCAATTTCTGCCTGATATATATATATATATATATATATATATATATATATATATATATATATATATATATATATATATATATATATATATATATATATATATATATCAACGAAGAAAATATAACCATTTTCCGACTTATAAATAAACGTTTTATCACCATTGGTTTTTAGTTGTTGGCGACGTCGCATTTGTTATCATAATGATATAAAAACAACGCTGGCAGCCAATGTTGGGCCGTCAAAACGCACGAAATTGTTCTAATGTTTTAACAAGGCATGTGTGCTAGCTGGGATATAGCTTCTGAGATAAGATACGATATTTAGTAAACTGGGAATAATGTAGCTTAGCAGCTGACAACACCTTTTTACATCAATTTTTTGCAATAGTAAATAGCCGTTTGTTCTCAAGAGAGGTATTTTAGCAGGTGCAAACCATGGAGTAGAATGGCTTGGAACCAATGAGAAAGAATAAAAGCTTCCATTTCTGCCTGAATCCAGAAGTTTACGTAGGAGACGCATTTTTAGCTGAGAGGGAAAAGAAATTAGCCCAAGGACCGTCACGAAGAAAATCACAAAAAGAATCCCAGTCCGCTTTAGGGTAGTAGTAAGCAGTGCAATGATAGGATGAGTCCAAAAAGGAATTAGAAGTTGAAAGATTTAAAGATATGATTGCAAGATCAGAACCAAATAAAGGAGAAAATGGAGAAAATAATGACAAGCTAGAATTAGGGACAAGACATAAATGAAGGCATGAAAGTTAATGAATAGGGTTGTCAGGAAAACGAGTCATAAAGTTGACTATCTCAGTATGAGATTGAGAAATGCAGAAGTTAAACGCTTCAGTTCCAGCAGTGTCAGTGGCGTTTGATCCTAGTTATTTAGTGTGATGAGCATTAAACTTACCAATACCAACAATATTGGTAGAGGGGTAAAGAGAGAAGGCATGGACAAAGAGTGCAGTCTTGAGAAGAAGGAGATTAATAAAAAACATAGAGGAAAGTGATAGAGTGAAGAGGTGTTAAGTGGAAGAAAATATAAGAATGGTCAAAGTAATTGAACCTGATTTCACGACAAATAAGTAAAATGGTGCGTATGTATACCCCCAAGCCAAGCATGTGATATTACAGTTTTTACTATACAAAGGATTGTATCCATGAATACTGAGATTAGAAGCAGAAATAGCAGAATTTAAATTAGTCTCACTTAGAGCAAGCAAGTTTGGTGATTCTTTTGCAAGAGTTTTGAATCAAACCTCTTTTGCAAGAGGTTTGATTCAACTAATGGAAGGTTGCATTACAGACCACGAATATTCGTTAAAGTTTTACTAAAACAGTTAGGTGATGGGAATGGTTTTTTATGTTTAATATTTTAGGTTACTTTTGATATGATTTAAATATAAAGAGAACTTGACTCATTTATTGATAGAACCCGGCCTCCTAAGCTATGCGCAATGCATTTTGTAAGTCCTGTTAACTAGCCCTAAGTTGTAACATAGGGCTCCTTATGTGGCCTCGACAATGGGCATCAAAAGCATTAACAGAGACATCATCCATACACAATATGCCACAGTTAATACTCTGATATTTTGCAGCTGTTGATAGAATGAGCCGGTCTCAAAACCATTAAACTGAGTTTTAGAGCCGTACCCTGTTTAGAAGATAACAGGGAGAGTTGCTTAGCCTTGCTTGTGCCTCCTTGTTAGGAGGCACAAGCAAAAACCTATAAGAAGAGTCAATAAGATTTAGCATTCATCATCTTAGGCAGGAAACAATGTAAAACAGGTTTACATCTACGCCAGCCTAATAGATGAAAAAAGGATTCGAGGCTGGTTGGCAGAATTATTCTGCTTACCCCTAACGTCTTTGCCGAGGAGACCTCGGACAAGACAATAGCTTAATGCAGTTAATATCTGCCGAAGATGAGTATTTTTATCGAAACACCATCTCTAGCCTTTACTAGGTCAGTGCCGAGTCAAGGATGGGGTGGTTAAGGGGTTTTATAGCCCCGGGCCCCGCATTTTTTAGTCATTTTTAGGCTATGGCTTATAAAAAGGCCTCCAAAAACAAAAATAGCCCCGGCCCCCAAGAAGTCTTCATCCGCCACTGTGCTAGGTACATGAACTTCTCCTTCATTTAAGAAGTTTTTAAAATAATTAACATAATAACAATAAAATTAAAACATTTTTATGTTTAATGGAAATAATATATTTGTAAATTGTATATAGTTTAGTATTCTGGTGTTGTTTGTCACTTAAACTCACTTCTCATTTAAATTCTTTAATACTTTAAATTAAAGGAGTTTTTTTGTGTATTAGGTTTTCAAACATTTTTATTTAACACTTGATACAGTGTGTTCTAAGTCTTAACACTTGTTGCAATCACGTCACACTATTGATTATAACTCTTATTACTATTAATTACACTGAAAAATAATTTATAAATTTGTAATACATTGATAACTTGTTTTAAATGACATGCCAAACAAACGTATGCTAGTGAACTTATTACAACAGAGTTATATGCTGAGCTAATGTTATATATCATTATTTAAATAAGATTTAGCCAAAAAAAAATAATTACTTAATTTAAAGAATTTAGTAGGTTTTAGTAGGTTTTGTCAATGAAATATTGTTAAGACTTATTATCCAAATTTTTTAAAAACTCCAATTTCTTGCAAAAATTATATTTAGTAACACTTAAAGTATTACTTGGTTTCACTTTCAGCCTGAGATGAAGTTCTAGTAGAAAGATTAACGATGGCTGGCTGTAACTCTTCATTTACATGACTGCAGTTATTGTATAAGTTTTGAACTGATTTTCTAAAAGGTTCCCAATGATATATATTAAAAAATGGTCCAATAATTCCTCCGACTAAACTAGGTATTAATATGTATCTAAGTAACTTTAATCTTTGTAGTTGCTTATCAATACTACTTCCTACAAAGGTGGTGTACGTCATCAACCAGTAAACAGAGTAAGGAAACCATGTCAATATAAATATGATAATTAAACTTATTAGCTTCATAAGAACACTTTTGCGTTTTTTTTGTACCAAACTTTTCTTCAAATGTTTCGAACTTAGTTTGATGTAACTTGTAACACACGCTAAAACCATTGCTAAAATTGGTAATACAAGTCCACAGACATACATAATGCTCATATAAATAATTCCAAAGGAATTGTTTATAATCCAGCTGCGGAAACAAATACCAGATACACGATCAAGTTTATATGATAGCATATAAGGAATAAAAGATACACAAGCAAAAAACCACGACACTGTAAAAAACTTATAAAGGTTTTTGTTATTTACATGCTTACGAAACGGTTTGATCGTTTGCTCGCATCTTAAAATAGACATGAAAAATAGTAAAACACATGATGCCATTGAAAAAATCATCATAGTACTGTGTCCATCGCTTATACTGCATATAAAACTTTCTATATATTTATGAGATGAAACAATACTACGCGTATTAATAACCAAGTATGGTATAATTCCAATGTACTGACCGATGTTGATAAATGACAGATGTAGAAGGAATCTGCAAAACTTTGTTTTTTTGTCATTTTTAAAATAGAAGATAATGATAACAGTTATGTTAATTGCCAGGCCCAAAGCAATCAAAACAACGTATACCATTACGGTTGCATTATTTTCAAAGTTACTAAACGGTGAATTTGATTGAAAAGAAAGGTTTTGAGAGTTATTCAACATCTTTCCTAAACAAAAGGAAAAAAAAGTGCAAATTAGCATTAGTGTCATTAAAGTTATGATTTATTATTTGTAATATAGTAATTTATACTTCAAAAACTTGTGAAATGAATTTTTCAAAAGTTTAATAATAGTTGTCTAAAGAGAACCGTCACAATTGCGAACTGGCATAAGTGTACCAAACGAATTTGCAAACATTGGCATAAGTGCAATCAACATTACTGTTTATATCATCGTCATATCATCGTCATATCATCGTCATATCATCGTCATACTTCAATAACATTTCAAATAAATATTATAAGTTTTTCAATTAAATAAATATTATAGCTTTTGAAAATAACTAAAGATACTTGATGAAATATCCTTTTTAACTCAACTATATCTTAGATAAACGGATATCACATATAAATTTATGAGCATTTAATAATATCTCAAAAGTGAAAAATGTAAATTTTAACTACTAGACAAATAAACTTTTTCGGAAAATGTAGGTTTTAGCAAAATCTTTTTTTTACATAATATTTTTTATCTCATTAAAGATTTCCAGAAGGTTACAGGATTGTGTGACGTATCATAATGTGTGGTATATCATGATGTGATGTATCATTAAGTCATAGTCGTTTTTCTAGAAAAAAAAATCACGCACTGACCCATTAGAAAGCCAAGCTAAAAGCTGTTAATTGCATAACAAATACACCTAGATATTCTTTATTGGTAATTTGAAGTAAAATGTTTTTTATTTTGTTTTAAAATAATAAATTATGTTCAAATAATTAATAAAGATTTATATCACGTAAATAAAGCTATATTGCAAAAATTAACAAAACATCAAAATGCTTAAAAAGGTTTGCATATGCTTTAATCGTGATTTGTTAATAAATTCGTATCTGCCCATTTTCCAGCAACAAGCTTAATTGTCATATTAAGTTAATGTCTGTCTGAAGGAAGAAAAGTAAGTAGTAAATAAATTGCCTGGAAGTTTTATCTAGATTGGTTAATATTTTTTATTACTTTCACTTCTTCAATACCATTGACTTTAACCTAACCTCTTTTTTATTGTTCTTTATCACGACTACTTGATGTTTTACCCAACTTCCTTTTTTTTGTTCTTTATCACGACTACTTGATGTTTTACCCCAACTATCTTTTTTCTATCAAATTTCAAACACCAATTTTCGACCTTCAGTTCTTTCCCTAATTTATCTTGTTACTTTTTACCTTCCCTGATGACTGCCATATAGATTGCTGGTTGAGTTGGTGAAGGAAGATCAACACGAGCCATCTGAAGTTGTTGAATTGCTGTGCCAACTCTTTGTTTACTTAGCTTTCCTTGACAAACAAATTTAACAACCTCAACTGTTCTCTGTTTAAATTTTCGTTTAATAATATTAATTGAAGGTTCATAGTCACTGCTACTGTTACTTACAGACTCATTTCTATTTTCGTGTTCATCTCTGTATTCATTCATTCAAGTTGATGACATTGATGAAACGTTTTCAATTTTAATTTTCCTTGATGGATGTATTTTTTTAGGATCATTAGGCTTTATTGTAGTATATCCCACTCTACCAGTCTCTAATTACTTTAAATAAAGATTCTTATCTTCAGAATGCAAACAAAGTCCATCCTCTTTCGATATATATAATAACCATCAAAACTATAAGTACATAGTTTGTTGATATCTTTTTGACTATTTTAAATCAATTTTTCTGTTATTTTTGGCACTGATCTTTTGTCTATTGTTGGAATATTTTAATCAGTCCATAGTTCTAAACATCCATGTGAAATTTTCTTTATTCGTCCTTTACCATTTTTATAACCTAATGCTAAGCTGATGTATCGTTTATAATTTGCCAATTTGTTTGTATTTAACCAAAAATTGTTTCTAATGATTCTTGAGATTTACTCTTACGTAATCTTTTACTTTTCTCAAAGTGAATCAAATTCTTTTAGTTTATGTCTCTTGATATTTTGGTTGCAGTAGAATTTTTGTTTGAAATATTGAATGGTTGTGAAGTAACTGAACTTGTAATGCCTTATACGATTAATTATTTGATTAAATTAATTTACGCAAAGATAAATTTCACTAAATACCGAAACGAAAAAAGTTACCCCTCGCAGAGTATTAAGTTTAATCAAAAATCAAAATAGAAGGGTCAATTACGCTATGTAACACAATTTTTATATAATAAAGTAAGACTTTCCATAAAGGTCATACTTCAAAAACATGAAATTGTGTATTTTTTTTATTTATAAACATGTGAAAACATTAAAATATTTGAGTTTAACTATTGAATTGTCTATTAAGTTTTTACATTTTACCCGTTGCCTGAACTTTTTGTAAGAATTTTTCCGAAGTTTTATTGCACTGTTAATCGTGGCACTCTTTGCTGCTAGTTGAGCAGATCGAAAAAAATAATAGTAAAATGTCAAGTCTATTATTAAGAAAAAAATTTGTTTCGAATTTATGTTTTGATAAAAAATCTTTGAATTATATTAAAATCATGTATAAATAGATATTATTTTTGGAATTCAGAAAAATCATTCAACTAAACATGCTTGTATTGAATTAGTTAATCAAATAAATAATGGATTTAACGAAAGCAAATTTACTTTAGGTAAATTTTTGATCTCTCAATAGCTTTTGACACTGTTGATCATTGCATATTGTTAGGAAAGTTGAAGCATTATGGAGTAACTAATAAAGTCTACAATTGGATTAAAAGTTACCTCATGGATAGAAAACAATATGTTCTAAATCAAGAGTACGGAATACTTAAAATCCCGTGTGAAGTACCGTAAGAACCTTTTTTATAGTTAGTTTATGCAAATGACTTAAATAATGCATCATTAAAGTTAAAACCAAAAATGCTCGCGGATGATACAACGTATTTCTTTCCAATAATAGTACCAAACAACTTTATGCAGAAATCTTGAATTAAATAAGAGTAATGACTGGTTTTTGGCGAACAAACTCTCATTAAATGTCGAAAAAATAAAGTATACCTTATTTCATAAAAAGATACAAAAAGAAAATCTTCTCCTTAAATTACCAATTACTTAAATTATCTATTTTTAAACAATATACAAATAAAAAAGCAAGACTATATAATGTTTTTAGGAATACTTGTTGATATCTTGGCTTCTCCCTATTAATTATTAATTGTTGATATCTTGGCTTCTCCCTATTAATTATTAATTGTTGATATCTTGGCTTCTCCCTATTAATTTTTATTATTATTATTATTTTTATTTTTTTAACTAAATTCGTCTTTTAGAAAAACATTTTACAACGTTCTTGTTTTACAATTTTCATCAATAAAATTTTAATAAAAAAAATTAATAACGACAATTTCAATTAAAAGTTAGTAAAACCATTGGTCT